GCAGCTGACCGCAGAGGTGGCAGTACTGGAGTTCGGGTTTCGAGGCCATGCGCGAATCAGCTTGGTGGAGCGGTGTTTCTTGGCTGACATCGACACCCACAGCTCCTCACTAAGACGGATCTGTGGGATGGAGAAGCAAAACAGCTGTTCGTCGCGGCCGTCGTACCGCCACGGTTGCTCCTTTTCATCAACGCGATGGTGGCGCAGATTATCATGCACCCGGACATGACGTCACCGGCCGACTGCGAGACGGAGGCGCGCTTGGGAGGCGGCACGTACGCTTCCTGACGAGCGGGAATCCCCTGAGAATTGAGGCAGACCCGCTCGACCTGTCACCAATTGCGTCTGTCGGAGCGCTCTATTGACGATTCAGATCTCGCTCGATCGCCGACCGGCTTCCAACGATATGCAATTGCAAATTAAATTGGGACAGCAGCTTCCACGGGACCAGGAGGCTCACCAGCATAACTTTCCACCGGTTGAGCGCAAGGACCCAGGACTGTGAGGCTTCAAGATTTTTCGGAAACGTGACCGTACGTTGTCACCCATGGAGCGGTCACGAGCGAATATACAGAACGGAAGGGAAGAAGCGAAGAGACGGAGGCAACCGACTGCGAACGATCTAGTGGTCTCTGGCTGGATGAATACGGGGAATTCTTTCCGTCTTGGAGGTCCCTGGCTCCGCGCGTGTTTTCCGCTGATAATCTCACTCTTCGTCAAAAATAATGGTCGCATGAGCAAATCGTAATGATTCTCGAGATTCGGAATTCATTGATCTCTCTCCCCTCACACCCCCAGTCGTGTCCCGCTCCCTTGAAAGGCGACGTGACGCAGCCGCATTACGGCCGCGACATGCCGTTCGGGGCGGTCACTCTGGTGCGCCGGGATGAGCGCTATGCTCAACGAGCACAAATAGAGTATACAAAACTCACGTCGCCTCTACTTGGTGGCCGCATCGTGGCCTGGCTGTCGACTTGGTGTTCAGGTCGCAGATTTTAGTCGCCTATGTGTTTCGAGATTGTGCCATTCGAAGCTGTGCTCCTGTGATGGGAGCTCAGCTGGATGTTCAGGCAGGGAGTCCCAAGGGTTCGCCAAGTCCACCTAGAACTCTGAATACTACGTTTCTCTCTCTAGGTGGCCTCGAGACTCGGGAGACACCTCCATGAGGGAAATATCGACGGGAATGACCCGTGATCTCGAGGCAGTCCCGGAGTCGCCTGCCTGCGGAGCAGGCTTTTTCAAAAGAAGGAGACTCCCTTATCGGGGGGATTGGTTTCAATAAGAAGACTGATTCATATGAATGAATTTAACAATTTATTCTTGCATAGATGCCGCCACGTGGTCTGAAGGGAACGCGCATTGATATTTTTGCCTGAGGAGAGCATACATTCACTAAGATTCTTCTTACGATTATTCTACGTTTAGGCTGTTGAAATGTCTAAGGTAAGCCAAGGGTTCAAGTCCATCATTTCCGCGAGGATATTGTGGATCGAATCATCGGAAGCGTCAGAGGAGCATGTCCCAAATCGCCTAGCGACTATGCACGCTTGCTTTCACGGGGAGAATACCGTTTTTCTCTTTCGGAACCTCCGCCGAATGAGTGGGCGAACCAGAACTAACTGTCCCGAATAATTGCACACCGAGGTCTAACAGTCTCTCTTCCCATATGATAACAGCAGAAAAACTCAACGAGCAAATCATGCACTTCAATTTGAATAATTATGATGAAGCTACTACTTGATGAAAGATTCCGGAGACGACAGGGTGCAATGGTCATCTCTCGGAGTATCGTGTCTGATACCATGAACAAATGCAGAATGCCCGAAGTTCTCTTCCTCGTATTGAAATTGCTCGAGATCCTACTGCCGGTCCGACTCCGGGAAGGAGTTCGGAAAGGATACAGGGAATTGACCGAGCGCTTCATGGGCTACCCGAAGTCTTGAATAAGAACGAATCATTGCCATTGCACCCTCGTCGGAGAGACAAGATCATGCTGTGTCTGAGCGTGATGTCTATTATGGTAACCGATTTCGCCATAAACTCGCCACTGGGGCCCGGACAATGCGCGACGCAAATACGTATTCTGAAACACCGACTCAGCGTCGGACTCTCGCATGCTGACGAAATGTTGAAGAATGCTCCAGTGCTCCAGCCGAAATATGCACTGCATCAAGCGTTCCGAACTCTCGAAGACCACGTCGGCACTCTCGTTGCAGAAGATGCTGTTTTTTTTCTCGATTCATTCAGAGACTCGCGCGTCTTTTTCCGGATCCAGCATCTCGGCAACGGTTCCTCTTATCGTGTCATTATAAGAACATTATATCGTATCTACATCTCGTCTGCTCGGTATTCGGGATATTCCCATGTGTTTCATAGCTCCAAACTTTGCTCCCGTAATTTATTGCAAGCATTCCCTTTCGGACTTCTGCTCTTCTCCTGCCCGTCGGTGGAGGGAGTAACCGAATCGATACGAGCATGAACAATTCTTCCCTCCAGTACCCTAGTCCTAGTTGATTTTTTGCTTCATTCACTGCTGCCTTCCACAGCTGCACCCTT